CCTCTAAGGTGAGGACGCAGTGTGTCCTCTAAGGTAAGGACGCAGTGTGTCCTCTAAGGTGAGGACGCAGTGTGTCCTCTAAGGTGAGGACGCAGTGTGTCCTCTAAGGTGAGGAAGCAGTGTGTCCTCTAGGGTGAGGACGCAGTGGCCCGTCTCAGCTTTGCACCATTGCGAACGACTACATGGCAACAACCTAGGGCTGGGTGGTATACTGGTTCAACTGGTATTCCAGTTTTAATTTCCTGTGTGGTATGAATTCTTCACATACCGTCGTGCCGTAACATACCTGAAACAGCAGCATCAATAGGCAATACACAAGGCATATATTATTCACTGCATGAAGCGCTATAGAGCTGTGCAGATTGTGTTGAGAGGGGACCACCTCTGCTTACTTACAGTGCGTATATATACACACTGTCAGTATGCATACATATGTGCGCGTGCTACAGTATACGTACAGCATATAACTGTATAACGTATATTTACTGTATTTTATAAAATGCAAGTGGAATACTGTACTATGAAGCATTTTAGTATTACAGTATGCAGTATTAGAGTACAGTGCACCTTGTTGGATTACATACCTGTTGTCTCTGAAATGTTTGAACGATTGAGGACAAACAACAATTGTCAATCGTCAAACAACAATTGGCCGTACCCTGCGACCGGCCTCGGCCCTTGTAAGCCACGACTGAGGACATTTCCGGAAGGTGCCTCTGATCGTGGCCTCTTCTGCCTCTTCCTGTTTCGCCTCCCTGCCCCTCCACCATACAGTTTTACTCCTCTTCTTCTTGTCAGCTGTTGACTCTGTTCATTTCCTTGTGGTTCTTCCATTGCCGCATTGTAACGTTGTGTTGTGCTCTGTCGGTATATGCTGCCCACTGAAAGTTCACGAGATGCACATCTGAACTATTTCAGAGAACTGGTTGATCACTGGCTGATCATTAGATGGTCTAACGCTTTAAATATTCCCCTCTTTTGGTGAACGTCAAGATTCAACTGAGAGCAATTCATCAATTCAGGATACATTTATATATAAAAAACTGTAATAGAGATGTATAGAGAATATGCTTGATAGATTATGACAACTGCTTCAGTTATTTTGCATGTAATGACTCATGCAATGACCTAATGCCTAGATGTTTTTTTTGGGGGGAGGGATTATTTAACAGAGAACCAGTATAATATATTTTGACCGACATGACATAAGCAATAGATAATGTTGGAATCTGCAGATGATTGTATATAATCATTTGCATGACTGTGCCAACGCATTTGCAGTTTGGACCAAATGAATGAGTCTTTGCATTTATGATGCGCGTAAGTGACTCGATGATGTGGAGGTTGTACAATTATTTATGAGAATTTCATTTCTAATCTGTGAAATGTATCAAAGCGACTGAGGGAAAAACTATAAAACATGTTGGTTATACTGATTTTTTAAAATAAAAAACACGCCTTTTTAAAAACATTCATGAAAGTATTTTATTGATGTAAATCCTGGCTGCCAGGGTAAGAGTCAGCTTGGGGAAAAATAAGGTGATATACTGTGAAACTGCCAGAATCTTAAAAAACACTGAGATGCAAATTTCTGGTCATACTATCCAGTCATAGGAGACCCATTTAAATCTGTACAAACGGACATTATATGATAGTACACATTGATTTTAGTGTCAGGTACTATACTTGACGTATGTAGATGAATGTTATGTCTCACAGTGAATTTATCTTACCTTGCTATGGAAAGCCTTTCGTTAAGACACACATATTCTCCACCAAACATAAATGCAATAGGGTTTGTACTCCGAAAGCCACAGTACCAGTACGATGAAGGAAATGCAACACTGTTTAGAATGAACAGTTTCCATAAAAATGGAGTTTTGTTATTTAGCTGTCCATGAAAAGGTTAACGTAAATTGGCATTTCATCGGCCGTAATGCAAAGCAGCACCGTTTCACTTTATATCAGAAATATTGTTGCTGTTATTATCGTTGTTTTTGTTTTTTTCTTCAGTTGCTTGTTATTTTTTGACCTTTCATAATTCATTATGTTTTAGCTGGTTTTGGTAACAATAGATGTCTAGAGTAGTATTGTACTGTATCTCTGACACAGGGGTCACCGTCCTGTGACCTCTGCATCCCTTCGTGTTCCTCTCTCTCCCCCTTGCAGCCCCTCCCCGGAATTGAGCTTTCCTTTTTGTGATGCATACCTGCTATGCCTTCTGTTCCATCTTCCCTATCCTTTAATCCCCTGCCCTTAATGCATGGGGGCTGCCTATACTGGCGGAGCATGCCGGAGCTTGTGCTTAGCTTGGTCCCAGAGCTGCCCTGTGCTTGCTTAAATTTGCCCCCCTCCCCTATTGAGATGTATCACATTATATTAAGGCTGCACATTATCAAATATCGGCATCACATTGCTGTATGCAAAATGCCCGCGAGTAATATTGTATTCATAAAACAAAGAAGGAGATGCAATTACCCAAAATTACAGCCAAATAGAACTCGTCTCCCAAGCGAGTGTGTGGAATGAGTTGGTGTTGCCGCGAGTTGTGTCGGTGACCACAAAGCAGTACCGACAAAAGGGATGTGATTATTGTGCATGCGCACATTGAGACGACAATGCGGAACCGATATACCGTGCAGCTCTGACGTGTATATTATGTAATGATGGATTTGTTTACAGTGTGTTGTGTCTATTTGTACATACTGCGGTATTATGATCACGCCTCTCCCTTGAGCTGGATCTCTGCCTGGCCAGTTGTCCGACATTTTCCCCTGAATTAGCCCAGGGTTATAATACCCAACACCCATCCTTCCCTTACTCCTTCTGTTGTGACTGGACAGTCTTTCCCCCCTTTGGCTTATGACTGCCTCTATTCTAGTCCTGTGACTTTCTTTCCGTGATGACATCACGATGATCTCATAATCCCTCTCTCTCTCTCTCTCTCTCGTGTCATCCCTCAGTGACCGAATAGTAGGGACTTGCACCTGCATAAAGACACAGTTGTGGGCATGATCTGTCAGGTTGACACTGCCGCTGTCTCCATACCCCTCGTCATGCCTCCTGCTTTCTGTGCTGCGCTTGTTCTCCTGGGGCCCGATTAGCGTCACCTGTCCTGTGATGATAGGGGCTTGTAAAGATAGCTGAGAGAACACTTATAGGCGTATAAGAGGTCTCGCCCACTTAAAACATCTGCACAGAAGTTAACTGGTTTTCACTTACCACTAGCAGGATTAAGGAGATAAGTCCCTTATCCAAATGTATTAAGTACGATGTAGGCAAACCCAGCGTCTGAGAGCCAGATAGCACTGAATGTCTTTGTGTTAAAAAGGTCCGGGCTTTGGGTAGCGTGCCCTTTGGCCAAATTCAGTAGTCTCTTTGTACATTTTTTTCTCTCTCACTGAACGCTTCAGCACCAGTACAAACATGTAGCGTTGCCTGATAAGCACATGTGGTTTTGCATGTAACAGAAAAAGCAGTCTCAGACTTGAGTTTCCTCTTCTCTTGTTTTTCAGTACACCGTCTGGAACTTTCTCCCCAAGAACCTTTTTAAACAGTTCAGAAGAATTGCCAACTTTTACTTCCTTATTATATTTTTGGTGCAGGTGAGTGATTATTACTGAATGTAATGCTTTCCCCCTGATGTAAATCATTCTGAGGATCTTCTCAGCCGTGGACGCCCTGTGCTGATGAGCACAAGCTGTGCAGGACAAACCCACTGCGCCTCGGTGACTGTGTGCGTAAGCTAAGCTAAGAGGTGTGAGAATCTGACAAGCAGGCGTTTGTGCTGCGAAATCGACGCTTTTGCTGGGTACAAAAAGCACATTGTCTGGTTGTTGATCCCCTCTTGTGGTGAGTGGTTGCTGTGGCCGGGTCTGGTCACTGCAGTTTTGTAGCCTGCAGATGCATGTGGTGCTACTCAGAATGACATTAATAGCAGAGTGAGTTTTGTATGGTGATGGTTAAAGGAACTAATATCCTGTGTGGCACTGTTTGTATGTCGTATAGTTGGTGAGGGCAAGGCTTCCTCGGCGGAGCAGGTTGTGCGTTTCTGTGTATATCTGTGTGTTTGTGTGGGCGTTCAGGCCGCGGTTGGTGTCTTCTCACTCTGCCAGGCACATTTGGCTGGCACGCCTCCACTAATCTTGCATCTCTTTGGAGTGCTTCCCCTTCCCGGCTCTCCAAACAGTTGGCGTGCGGCCTTCTGCCGTAGCGGGATTCTGTAGCCTCAGGACCACACTGCCTCGTTCTCACCGGCCGGCGTTCCGGCATCCACGCGCCGTCGTTCCTCCTGGGGCTTTTTGACGGTCTGCCCCCTCTTCCTCATTTTATTTTTTGACTCCTGTACCTTGCAGTACATCTATACAGCCTGAAATAGACATTCTGTGTGCTCTAACTCAAGGTTATAAAGGATAAACAGCGGCTGGAAGCTGGACTGAAGCAGTAAGCAGACTGTGGTCGGGATATTCTGGGGTTTTTTATTGGCCATATGTACCTGTGACAGCCTGTAAAATGTGCTGTGGCTGAATCGGAAAACAGCACCATGTAACTGTAGGATGTGCATGAAAGACGCAGGGAAATAAGGCCAGTGGGATTCGCTGTACTCATCGCTTTTGCTGTATTTGGTCACGGAGGCCACCATCCCTGGCGGCTTTTATCAGTCAGCTCAGCTTTGCTCTAGTTCACCCTCAATTCATTCATCACTATCAGGCTTCCCCATGGCCCTCTGAGTACCACCGCAACCCCCGGCCGCGTGCCCTGTCCCCGCGAGTGCGTCCGCGCGCGGGCGAGCGCCCTGTCCCCGCGAGTGCGTTCGCGCGCGAGCGCCCTGTCCCCGCGAGTGCGGCCATGCCCCCGGCCTTGTGCCCTGTCCCTCTGAGTGCAGCCTTGTGCCCCCCCCAGTGCGGCCGTGGCCATATGCCCCTTTATGAACCTATAAACAAAACCGGCAGATCAATTGTGTGTTTATGAATTTAATGAGTTGTTCTAATTCAAAGCCCTTAATGGCTGCTTTATAATGCGAATAAAAAAACAATCATTTGTTTTTCTTTATTCCCTTTATGCCGTTGTTGGAAGCCTGGCATTCTAATTAGATTTATTCATTTCAAAAGCTCAAAATCCACTTATGTAGGGCAATTCAAACTTTCAGAAATAGTCAAATAGTGTTTTCAAAGAATGACCAACCGAATGACCACCAGTTTATGAATAATAGACAAATGACAACACACAAGTCAGCTTATGTCCAGTTTCCTGAAAAGCTAATCTGAAGTTGTAGTGAGGCGTCAGCTGGATTGTAATAAGCCATTTTCACATGCCTCAGTAATTTATTTTGTAGCGGAAACGTCAGTCTCCTCTAAGTCGTGCATATTATCTGCTGCGAATCTAGACTTTTTCTGGTCAATGTTTGGAATGGAGCCCAGCTTGTGATGTGGGAATATATCTTTCACCTTACTAAAAATGTCTTTGGAGAGGGAACTTTCAGAGCGTATGCTATTTTTGGAGGGTCTTTGGAGACACAACCACCACACCAGTGACAAGGACGAGGAGTTTGTGTGCGTTTGGTTTGGCCAGGGCACTGTGGTAAGCTAGGCAAAGCGTGTCATTCGACCTGCTTTCGGAAGCCACTCAGGTCCGGTTCCTGCTAGCTGAGTGTGAGACATAATCGTTAGTCATCACAAGGTGACTCCACTTCGTGTGTCGTTGGTTAAGGGGCTGGGTCAGTCTGGCTGAGCAGGGTTCTGAAGATTAACACTTTACTTAAAGTACACACATATCATGCATCATGGATACCTTCATAATGCATCATAATGCATTATAAAGGATTGTAAACATCACTATTTAATAAAAGGCGTAACACATTATAGCCATGTGCCCTATGAATGCTCTATGAAGTTCTCATCTATAATGCACTATAAACACCTTCACAATGCATTAAAATGGCCATTTTAATGGATTATGATGGAATCTGTAATGCTTTATGATGGCTGCTTTAAGTCAAATGTTACCGTGATGCTCCCGGGCTGGATTTTTTTCTTAGGTAAGAAGGGAAAACAGAGGTAGTGCTCTAACAGCGCAGATAATATGCTACTTCCTCGGAGTGGGGTTTGGGCGGGGGGCGGCCTTAAATCTCATCCCTTGCCAGTTTTGGGAGGGCAGGGAGCACATGGTGAAGCGTGCCTTGGGGGATTCTTGGCTGCAGAACACACATGCAGGTCTTCTCCTCAGTGCCCAGTTGGGGTGTAAAGATACATCCAGGCATCGTGATGAATCGCTTATTAAGGTGCCGGTTCAGTGCATCATCTGCATGTCAGATTTGATTTTGAGGATGAAATGCAGATGCTTCTGCTTCCGGGTTGCAGGCTCTCGCGTTCACGTGCACGAAACGGCACGTGTCGGCACGTGAATTTCCGGAATGTAGGCTGGCAAGGGAAGGCTCAGCATTCATGAAGGAAGCACCGCCTGATGATCTGTGCCCTACCCTGCCTTTGGGAAACGTGTCCCTGTTTTGTAGCACAGAACGCTCTCTAATGGTTAAGATAACCTTTGCTCTACAACACTTTTGGGAAATGCCTCTCTTTTGTAGCACAAAAAAAGTCTTTTCTTTTTTTGCAAGCTACGGTAACAATGGACAAGACTGAGTTGGATAACTAGCCAGCTAAGTAACATTAGCCTTAGAGATGCATGATGTAATGGTTAAACATTGGTATCGGCTGATTTTCATTAATATCAATATATTGGCTTCAGTCCGATGTGTCAGTCTCTATGGATATTTAGACGTTAGCTCAGACGTTGCGAACTTAAGGTATTGCTGAGGACACAACTATTAAAATAATGGAGATGACTGCACTCTGGATGGTCTGCTGCTTTCCGTAGTGGAGGTCTTGCAGTACCGGTCTGCAACCTGTTTACTCTACATTATTAAATCCGGCCTGCAGGTCAGTCTCTCGTTTTTCACAGTCATTCAACTCTCTACAAGCTGAACCTCTCCCGCCCCACCAGCGCCTCTGATTAGTACCTCTTTAGCGTGTTGTTTTCTGTACAGTTCAGCATGCATAATTATAACACTGCCCTTTTCTCCTTGTCTCATTATGTAATAATAACAATTAATGCTCTGAGCTTCTACTTTTTTTGCACTCCATTAACAGTGTGTAATTAAGTTCCCAAGTTAATATTTGTGAAATTAATATTTGTGGAACAAAAAACAACATTGATTAATCATTGATCGAGATGAATGATTTCCGATGCATTGAATCATTCCCTCAATAATGTTGGTTAAATAGAATTGCCTTCGGGCCAAGGATTTACACCCCTAGAGTCCAAGTCTTTTGTCCATGCAGTGCAGGACAGGTGGGCAGCAGGAACAGTAGGGTGGCCATTAGGTAATGACAGTCATTTGGTGCATGTGTGGCTGTCAGATGTTCCACCACTGGGCCCTTAGCAAGTCCCTTAGCCCCACTTGTTTCACTGACTGTCTGTCTAGTGACTGTGTGACCCTGAATTCTCAGTTGTACACGTCTTTGGACAAGAGTGTCTGCTGAAGAAAATGCATGAATGAATGGATACAGCAAGGTGACATATTTACTATGATCTATAGAAAAAAGGTGAGATGTTAAGACACTAGTTATATTTTAGGATATACAAAGTATTTAAACCTGCTGAGTTTTTGTTAACCAGCTAGACACAAGAAAATCAAGCATGAAATCAATAGGCAAGAGGAAGAGAGGACTGGAATCATTGGGGCGCTCTTAGGCCGCAGGAACTTTTTCCGGAACCAGGAACTGTCCCTCTGGCACCTTTTCAAGCCTGGATCTGTACTATGACTGGTAGCCAGTGGAAGGAAACCCAGAGGCGTGACTTGTGGGAACCTTTAGGCAGGCAGATGACATGTCTTACAATGGCACCTAACCTCTCACACAACATGAGCCGGTCATATAGCTATGAAGGCAGTGCGGAAATTCAGGCAAGGTAATGATAGTAATCAGCAGTGAGGCATGTGCAGATTTTTTTTGGATGCTTAAGAGGAACAGTTTATGGGATCTCTTTAAAGATATGTGCCGTAGAAAGGTATTTACTTCCAGTTTCTGCTTCCTTGCTGGCTGCTGATACACATTTTGCTCCTATTGTGTGTGAAATCAAAGAAATCAAAGACTCTGGACACTGCAACATGTGCAAATCACTGCCACAGGAAAGCGACCAGAATCTCTAGTCATGCAGCTACCCTTAGAGGTCGAAATACTAATTTCTTGACTTGTCTTATTTCTGATTTTATGAAAATATTTACTCAAAACAAAACAATATTTCAAATTGTACCAGCACATTTTATGTCTTTGAGAGAAAATTTGAGTCTTCCTCATTTAGTAGAATTTCAGGCCCCTGCTTTGTGTTTATTCACTGAGTGCTAAGCCAGGTGTTTCAGCATTCTTCTCTAAAGCCTCAGGGAATAATAGACATTTGGATTTCTCCCCCCTGACAGGTAATAGTGGACACGCCCACCAGCCCTGTTACCAGTGGCTTGCCCTTGTTTTTTGTGATCACGGTGACTGCCATCAAACAGGTGAGAACATCAGCACCTCCCGCCTTGCCCACTCTCCCCTTTGCTGCTGCCATGTGACCTGCTGGCCAACCACAACTTTCCCCGAGTGCCTGTGTTCGTTTTCTTTTTCCGTCCCTGTGATTGATGGAAATGCCCATGCCGGTTGGCATTTGAAGCCACACTTTTCAGAGTTGAGCAACAAAGGCGTCTGTGTTTG